CATGGAATGGCTGGCAACTTCTCATAGAACCTTAGGGTTCCACTGAATCCTAGTTGAGAAACTCTGAGTTAGATAATAAAGAACTTAAGCTGCGTAGACAATGATAATAGCAAAAAAAACAGCAACAATGAGCAGTTGGGTCAAACATGAAGTAATTAGAGTTATAGGATCTTCCTATTTCTTGAGTCTTTTATCAGAAGTAATGTACATTTTGCTATAATGTATTATGCACATTTTTTTTATAACATAGTATGAATGTTAGTCTTGCTAAATTTTACTGTGTTAAAATAAATGCCTAACTAAAGCTGGAAATAAGGATGATTCTGTCTCTATGACTCTTCTGGTGAGTAGTAAAGATCTAGCTCTTTTGTAGGGATTTTGAAGAGAATAGAGTGATGAACATTGCTCCTAAGAGAGTGAGGCTATAATGTTTGAATTGCATTTAATACCCTGTGTTTGGATAGAAATAGGTACATTGCTGATTTGTAGAAATCCCTAAAAGAATCAGCAACCATATTGTAATTATATATTAGTTATACTAGTTCCTTTTCTAAGCATAGAGTATAAAAATAAGGTTCAGTGAGCAATTGAAAATGAGGAGCATTATCAAATTATTAAAATTCCCTTATCAGGAGCAAACATCAATTGTCAAGCAAAAGATAAAGCCACACCACTCTTCATTGCGGCCCAGGAGGGCAATGACAAATGTGTGGAGCTGTTACTAGCCGAAGGAGCCAATCCAAACCTATACTGCAATGAAGAAGAATGGCAGCTGCCTATCCATGCAGCAGCACAAATGGGACACAGCAAGTAGGTGATATGAAAAAATTGCTCCTAGTTTCTGTTAAGCCTTGAGTTCTATAAAGAAAGAAAGGCCAAGCATAAATTATGAAATAAAATTATAGTTTGAATAATAGAAATAAGATGTTCCTATTTATGGCTATATTTTCTAAGCAATATTAGAAATCATTTAATCTTTCAGAATTTTTACAGTTGATGAATCAGTTTTGTATCTGCTCTGTTTTTGACTGGTAGTAAAATCACTTTCTTCTTTCTTTTTTTAATATTTATTATTTAAAATGTCTTTGTAGTAGCTCAGGTTAGACATTTTCTAATGCAATATGTGGGATAATAGTAAAAGAAGGTTTATTTTGTATAAAATATTTTATAATGTAAAAATATTTAATATAAAATAATAAAATAATCACATAAAAGTTAAAAAAGTTGATGTTTCTCTGAAATGAGTCAGAGTATCATGATTTCCTTGATGATTCCTGAATGACCCAATTTGCCCTTGAGAATTCCAGAAAATATTAGTGTTTGAATTGAAAATTTTAAGCCCTAAACCTCATGCTTTTAATTAGAACCAAAAGAACAAACCAGCAATTTGTTGTGAGGCATTGACACATTAAAGGAAAAAAGGCAGGATAAAGAAAAAGAAACTGTTGTATGAATTGAAGCTCCCTTCTTCCTTTAGAGCAGCGGTTCTCAACCTGTGGGTCGGGACCCCTTTGGGGGGTCGAACAACCCTTTAACGGGTTGCCTAAGACCATCGGAAAACACATATTTTTGAAAAAATACAGAAAACATAAAATAATTTTATGGTTGGGGGTCACCACAACATGAGGAACTGTATAAAAGGGTCGTGGCATTAGGAAGGTTGATCCTCGCTGCCTTAGAACATTGAACAAATGAGTCTATGGAACTAAACACTGGATTTTTTTTAGACTGCTGTGTGTAGTTTTTCTTAAAATTTACTTCAAGAATTAATTGTCTTTTTCTACTAATACATAATCTATTATTTTACTGTAGCTGTATTAATGATAAATCTATCTGATTTTT